ATCACAGGCTACTTCGAAGACCTTAGAAAAATCAGGAAGACGCATGACTGGGGCCTCGACCATTCTCTTTTTGATCTCCTCGAATGCTTTCGTGGAAGCTATAGTTTAATGGAATTCTCCCTTCTTTAGACAGTCAATTATGGGTGCCAATATCGTACTAAAGTTCCTAACAAACCTTCGATAAAAGGTGTCAAATCCATGAAAACTCCTAACATCTCTGATATTTTTTGGTTCAGGCCACTCGTTAATCGCTCAAACTTTCTCAGTATCAGCGGATATTCCTTGAGAGGATATGATAAATACGAGAAAAGCGACAGGGTCAGTGAGGAACATACACTTCTTCGGATTTGCATACAATTGTTCTTTCCTCAAAACTTCACAGACTTGCTTCAGATGATTTAAGTGATGATCCACCGAACTAATGTAGATCAGAATGTCATCAAAATATACCACAACAAATTTTCCTAAGAATGGTCGCAAAATTTGAGTCATAACTCTCATGAACGTACTAGGAGCGTTACTAAGGCCAAACAGCATAACCATCCATTCATACAACCCATATTTAGTTTTAAATGCCGTTTTTCATTCGTCCCCGTGGCGGATTCTGATTTGGTGATAACCGCTCTTAAGATTGATTTTAGAAAAGAGGGCTTCCGGTCATCATGTCCAACATGTCATCCAAGCGTGGAATGGGGAAACGATATTTCACAATAATTTTGTTGATGACACGACTATCAACACACATCCTCCAAGAGCCATCCTTTTTGGGGGTTAGAAGGGCGGGGACTACACATGGGCATAAACTTTCGTTGATAATCCCTTTTGAAGCAGATCATCCACTTGCTCTTTTAACTTGGCGTGCTCCCCCGGGTTCATACAGTAGTGGGGAAGGTTGGGCAGCGAGGCTCCGGGTACTAAGTCTATAGCGTGTTGGATGTCTCGCAGAGGGGTAACTGGTTTAGAAGATCTTTAGGGAAAACATCAGCAAAAGTCTCAAGGAGTGGTTGGACCTCTTCCGGAATGGGCTCTCCTAGTTCCTCATTTATCTCACGGGCCACTAAGGTGTATCTGAGGGCTCCTTGGTTAATCTCATCTTCCACTTCTTTCGCAGTTAAAAGGTGTAATCCTTTGTTTGTTTTGACAGGGGAGTTTTGACTTCTGTCTTATGGGGTTTGGGTTGTGAGGGTATCAGCTTGGTTTTCTTGCCGTTATGTTCAAACACGCAGGTGTTAGTTCTCCCATAAATATGGACATCGTTGTCAAATAACCACGGGCGACCTAGGATAATATGACTTACATCAATAGTCAACACATTGCACCAAATCTTCTCCTGATATCCAACAAACTCTATGGGAATAAGGCTCCTATCATTAATTTCTTTGGTAGTCGAATTAATCCAAGCGACCTTATACGGGTTAGGGTGATGTGTCATCTTTAGGTTAAGTTTGGATATCATAGCTGAATAGACTTGATTGATACAACTTCCACTGTCGATGATAACTTTGCAGTTCTTGTCTCCGATTTTAGTAAAGGTATGAATCATTGAAGTCCTTCGCCAATCGTTGCTGGGTTTGGGTTGGGACAACTCACATCTAACGACTTGCAGATGGTTTTCCTCGTAGAAGAAGTCTTCTTCATCGTCAACATGATGGGTCAATTCAGTCTCAGGTTCTTCCTCTTCTTCTTTAACCTCTTCGATTATGGTGACCTTGTACGGACTAGAATACTGCAAAGCGATGTGTCCATAACCGTGGCACCTATAGCACTTGGTTCTAGAAGTGGCTTTGGGAGTGTCATGCTCGGGAGTCTTACCTTTAAAATCAGGGCGAGGTTGAGCTGGGCTAGTAGTTGGTCGGTTAGCTATAGAGCCTGTGGATCAATTTTGGGGTTGACTGGAGGAAGCTCTATATGGGGTTGGGCGAGAGTCTAGCTGCTTGGTGTGGGAATGGGTCTTAGACTCCTCGAGGTCAAGCACTAAACTACAGGCTGCTTCTAAAGTATCAATTCCTCTCGCAAAAAGCTCTTTTGGGAGATCTTCCCTAAAGCCAGCTCTAAACATGGATAGAAGTTGAGCAGGGGTAGTGAATTCCTCGCCATTACAACGAATCATGAAATCATCGAAGGCGGAGATGTAGTCTTTCACGGGTTTGCTTTCCTGAGTCAGTCTATTCCATTTATCTAAGGGCTTAGAGTAGTATGAGGGAGGGAGATATTTTCTCTTGAGCTCTTGCTTCATAGCTTGCCAGTCGGTGATGAGGTGCTCACCTCGAGCTTCGCGCATGTTTTCCAAGTTTGTCCAATATTGGTTGGCTCGACCAGTAAGTTTCATTTCGGCGAACCTGACTTTCCTAGCTTCCAAAATGCTATACCATTTGAATCAACTATCCATCCCTTTGAGCCAATCTAAGAAGACTTGAGGATCGAGGGTGCTATCACATGAAGAAGCGTCTATTCGGATGTTCTTTAGTAGCTGAGCTTCGTTATCTCTCCAAGTGGGTTCATTTCCTACGGGGTCCTGATTGGGTCTAAGGTTGTGACGATAGTGATCCCACGGCGGTTCATAATCAATTCGGGTTTCATCACCATAGGGCGAATGCGGCCTAGAAGGGGTGTAAATTGCGGGGTGTCCTAACCATTCAATGTTATCAAGTCGCTCACCCGTTTGGCGTCTAAAGTCCGCTAAGTCAGTTTAGGTGTTCCTAATTTGCTGAGTAACTGTCCCAAGTTGGCCCACGATGAGGTCTAGAGTCGCTTGAATGTGTTCCAGATCCATGGGTAAAAGTTAGGGGACGCTAGGGGAGGCAAAGGGGTTAAGGATAGCACATGGACACTAAAGTTATATGCTCCTAATGCCTCTAAATGATACAGTTTTTGTGTGGACAGCAAACAACAGCAGTTGGTGAACTTGCCTAGGTGTATAGGATGGGTTTTAGGAAGTAGACAACACCTAAACGAGTGTATGCATGCAAACAAGCATATGGTTGGTTAGGTAAACTCCTAGGATGTTTTCTAGCATGTGTTACCTATGCCTACCATGCTCTGATACCAAATATGATATGATACAATGAAGACGAAACAAGAATTGCTTGTATGAAAATTAATAAATTGTGAACTTGGCGTAGTTAAACATAAACGAATGCGTTGTCAAGATAGATCTTTAGAAAATTCCACGGAAGAACTAAGTAACGACAATTGATTACAATTAAGAGCAATAGGAAACTTGCAAAATTACATCAACAAATAAGTAAGTAGAGCAAATGGCCGATAACACAATCAACAGTTTAAGATCTAGATCATTCACCTCAGGATCCCTCACTTACACTCTTGATATCGCTCGGTTTAGCGGAGGAGGATTGCAAACAAACTTAGGGATGCCGCCAGTAGACACGTGATGCCAAGGGGGCTAGTAGCCGATGAAGGAGCCGGAGTTGGAGGCGCGGGTAGTCGTCCGGTGATCTTCCACTCTTCAATAAGTTGTTGCTCGTCGAAGATTTCCGCAAAGTGAGGAAGGATACGGTCAACGTATTCCTTGACGGTGTTCTCGGCTCCGAATCCAGGGTCAAAGAATGGTGACCGGATGACGTCGATCTCCCCGCGAGAATTGAGAAATAGGCCGTGATCAACTTCCGGATCCGCCATTCATGATCATGAGCGGAATTGATATGTAACGATGGAGTAACAATGGAGGAGCCGCCACTTAGGATACTTGGTTAAGAGGATGAGGAGGTTGGGTGATCTCTCGGATGGGAGGAGGTGGAGAGGGGAGGGGGCGGCTTGGTCTAGGCTAGGGATAGAAGAAATTAAGAGAAATCTGAAATTAATTTCAGATTTGGTGAATTCGGAGGGAAAGAATTTGAATTTTGAATTCAAACTCTCATTGAAAGAAATCAAGGAGGGAGGAATTGTGGGAGATAATTAGGGAGTCTTAATAGAGAGCAATTAATGAAAATTGGAGAGAGAAAGACACATTGAAGGGGCCTGCCATATAGAGAGAGGAGGGAGGGGATTTGTTTTAAATAGGTGGGCCTCAAGGTTTAAGTAACTAATTCAAATCAAATCCGAATTTAATTTCAAATTTAATTTAAAAGGGGGAGATTTCCAAATTGAAGTTTTAGCATTAGGAAAGAATTCGAATTTCAAGCATTCATTTAAATCCAATTTGATAACTTTCCTAATTGCTTAAACTTATATTAGGAAAGTGATTAATGGCCAAAGGAATTTGAATTTCAAAATTGGGTAAGAGGGGGTGGGCTGGCGGCAAGCGGGAATCAAGGGGGGTCGGGTTGAGGTGGAGGGCCGGCGGTGGAGCTGGTGGTGGCCGGCGGCCTGAGAACTGCGGAGTCCGGTGGGGATAGGTGGGGTGGTTTAGAGAGGAGAAGAGGGTGGGAGTGAAGAGGCCGGCGGGTTGAGCAAGGGAGGGAGGTTAGGGGATGTGGGTGAAGGAAGACGATGAACCGTGAACCTTGGAATCCACCAAGATTGACGGATATTGCTCTCACCCACTAAGGGTTGTTCCTCTCAAGAACTCACCAAGAGATCATGTAAGAAAGTAGAGAAATTTTCATTCATAAAACAACATCTATAACAATGCAATAGGCCTCCTATAAATAGGTCAAAATGAAAGAAAATAATAAAGACACAAATGCCCTCGGGGCTACAATAACGACTCAATACCCACAGGGATAAACTAGGGAAACATAAAATGCAAGAACAAATAAAATACAAGATATATCAAAAGTAAAGGCTCTGGATCGTAGTCGTCGATCTCCGGCTATGACGACGGTACACATGTCGGAATCTGATGTCCTCATCAGTTTTGCTGTGGTAAATTTGATGAATGTGCTGCTTGTGTTTCTAGCATTTTTGTGTCCTGTTGCTTTATCTTGTAGTTTTCCATTTTGCATCAATTTTTCTCATTTCCCTCTCTGATGCCATTAACTTCTGTGCTCATCAATTTTTTCTCATTTCCTCTCTCATGCCATGAACTTCTGTGCTTGTAGTTCTCCCACCTTGCTTGGATTCAAACAGATAGGAAGGCAGGAGGTCTTGGGAATATAAAATATCCCTTGATATCTGATGTGACTAAATCAGTATCACGTTCCTATGGCGTATTGATTCCTGATCAGGTATGGTTCTCTCTAAACTTCTATTGCAATTTTGTATGATCTGAAGTGGTTTGGTAAACAATTTCTCCTTTCTTGGTGACCTACAAAATATAGTCAGCAAAACCCGATAAAGAGATTTGATTGTTGCTTCATTTAAATGCAATATAGTTCACTTCCTCTCTTTTTTCTGTTAGTTTAATTGCATGTACTCTAAGTGCATGCCGCAGCTATATTAATCACATAATAATTGTAAGATAGGTTGTCAATAGAGGTGCATATTATTGATGAATTAAATTCACTTAATATCTTAAATTATACATTTTCAATGTTCTTCCAATTTATATAGGAATAAGAAGAAATGTTTAGAGGTTTTAAGAAAATATATATTCCTAATTGTAAAATCTATGATGACAACACAAAGTTAGTATATACTAACGTTTTTTTTTTCTTTTTTTATAACACATAAATCGTAGTTCTCACAACCAATGTGCTATCCCTTGCAATTTTTTGATCGGGGATGCATACTATAACATATAGGAAAGTTTATCTAGATTCTAAACTTTTTGATGATGTATTATGTGCTATCCCTTGTATTTTTTTTATTTTGGATACATAATTTGATCAGGCATGAAAATTTAATTTGATTCTATAGTTTTTGATAATATGTTCCACTAGGAAGCCCCAAGAAGAAAACTGCAACAAACAAACAAAACACCCATAGCCCTTATAATAAGATAACTAGCCTTAAATAAGCTCTTCCTATTTTCCTCCCAAACAACTTTACTACCTTAATTTATTTCCTCTCTTATTTTGACTTCAAATTGGAATTAAAACAACAATTAATTTCATTATTGTCTTAATTAATTTTCCTCTTCTATTTCAATTCAATATTAGAATTCTTTCATTCAATTCTAATTAAAACTTCCCTAAACAACCTCTCCTTAATCCCTCATTTCATAATGATCTATAGATGTGTTGGGCCTCACAAGAAGGGGGAAGGAGACGAAAGGCGAAATCCCCCTTAGTTTTGCTAAGAGTTTTGCCCAACCCAAGGGCTAATTCAACCCTAGCTGGTTGGCTGGGTTAGACTAGCCTCTCTATTCCCATTCTCCCTTCGCATCATCAACACCCAAAACATTGAATTTTTATTTTCTAGTAACTATGAGAAAGTGTCCCATAAAATCAATCTCCCATTGAATGAATGACCAAGGGCTTTGAAGGGAGAAAAGTTCTATTGATGGAAATGAGTGAGATTAGAATGCATCTGGCAATTATTGTATTTTTGAATAAATTCTAATGCATATTGCTTTTGTTATAGGCCAATAGATTCCCTATCTTATAATTTTCTAAGTGATTGCTTTGCCTCTGGGGCGGAACCAGATAGTTCTTAGGGGGGGCAATTGTCCCCCCCTCAAAAATTTTTTTTTTTATAGGAGTAAAAATTTTTAAAAAAAATTTATAGGAGAGTAAAAAATTTTTTTTGCCCCTCCTAGAGACGAAAGGCGAAATCTCCCTTAGTTCTGCTAAGAGTTTTGCCCAACCCAAGGGCTAATTCAACCCTAGCTGGTTGGCTGGGTTAGACTAGCCTCTCATTCCCATTCTCCCTTCGCATCATCAACACCCAAAACATTGAATTTTTATTTTCCAGTAACTATGAGAAAGTGTCCCATAAAATCAATCTCCCATTGAATGAATGGCCAAGGGCTTTGAAGGGAGAAAAGTTCTATTGATGGAAATGAGTGAGATTAGAATGCATCTGGCAATTATTGTATTTTTGAATAAATTCTAATGCATATTGCTTTTGTTATAGGCCAATAGAATCCCTATCTTATAATTTTCTGAGTGAGTGCTTTGCCTCTGGGGCGGAACCAGATAGTTCTTAGGGGGGCCAATTGCTCCCCCCTCAAAAAAATTTTTTTTTATAGGAGTAAAAATTAAAAAAAAAAAAAGGAGAGTAAAAATTTTTTTTGCCCCTCCTAAAAAAATTTTTTGCCCCTCCTAAAAAACTTTTTTGTCCTAACTTGCCCTAAAATATCTATATATTTTTTCACATTTAGTTCTAATATTCTCTTTCATGCTTTTCATGACATTTTAATTACACATTTTTTCTTTATTTTTCTTACTTAATTAAAAAAAAAACTCTTCGTAATATATAGATATATAATATTATTTTTGTGTTATATTTTCCCCCCCTCAAAATTAAAGCTGGTTCCGCCCCTGCTTTGCCTATCAAGTGTCACCATATATCTTTGAATGAACTTCTTAAACTGCATATTCATCTTCTGATGGAGGAAGATATTTGAGATATGGTATCATAAATGCTCTTTTATATAATTAATCTTCAATAATTATGAAGTTTGCAGCTTGTCCGATAAAGTTGGAAACTATTGAATTTTTAGGCAGCCTCCCAATGTATAAAGGAAATTATGGGATTCATCCAAATGATATAGTTTGTTTTTTTTCTATATATTGTATCTCCCATGCTTTTTTTGTTGGATGCACGCCAGTTGTCAAACGGTGGTGGCGTTGATTATTGGGTCGTTGGTAGTGATCGCTGGAAAATGTAATATAGTTCTTTAGCTCTCTTAGCTTTCTAATCTTCTTCACATAGAAAATGAGTGCTTATTTATAATTTTTTAGCAATATTTTGGTAAATTTGACAAGAATTCAAAAAACTCAATTTGGATGGTTCATCCATATTGATTCTATTCATAGATTATTTTTTCCAACATTTGAGTATCTTAATGATGTTAGAATCGAATGATCATGGGCTTGTTGGATTGGTCTCTCCAAGATGCTTAATTTGACTGCAAGCATCATGATTTGGAAATTATCTGGTCATTTAGTCAATCTTCAAAAATTTGCTTCGAGTGTTTGATTCGAATTCATTTATACTTCATATTGGATCATTTGTGATATCGATGGGTTCATCTCATTGAGATGTTATATTTTAATATAAGTTTGTTGAAATCAAAATTAAGATACTATTGAATTTAGTTTTGAAAATTTTTAATTCAAATATTACCTTGAGATTTGTGTTGATAAAGTGAATTCTTTGTATGTTTATCTTTTTTTTTTTAATTTATGTTTATATGTATGAAGAAGTTGAAGGTATAGCTATTTAAAAAAAAAATGAACCGGAAGTGTTGGATGACAAATTTTGATAACTAAGAAAAATTATCAAGCAAACAATTTTAGGGAATAGAAAAAAAAACACGATTGGTATGGAGGAAAAGCATTAGAGAAACAACAATTCACTTACATTTCCATTTCCCAGGAGGTAAAATAGGAAGGGATAAATAAGAGCTGGCTTATTCTCATGTTGGGGTTCGTATAGTTAGCAAGTATAAAACAGAAATGAATAATAGAGAGTGAAGAAAAATTTGGAATGGGAAAAAATACTTAAAGGCCAACACAAGGTTTACAAGGCAAGTTCAGATCTCAGTATTCTTTAGCACATGCATTCCAAGATTATTGTTCTTTGCTAATGGTAGATTTACAACAAGGTTTGTGTTGAGATTGTATTTGAGTTAAATAACAAGCATATCTTTAATATTACTACAAATTGATATATTCTACTTTAATCTCATTCGATTTTAGGCTTCGTTTGTGACAAAATTTTTACTATAAGCAGTAAGAAAGCCGTTCCAAGAAGCAGTAAGAAAGTCGTCCCAGATAAAGCCTTAATCAATGATATAAGATATCGACAATTCCATTTTTTTTGTCTATATGCTCAAAAGAACATGTTTCTCATAACAGTTGCCTCATATGAAATGTCTGATGGGTGTAATATGGCAGGGCATTGCTTTGCGAGGATTGTTCATCATTGACAAGGAGGGAGTGATTCAGCACTCAACCATTAATAACTTGGCCATTGGTCGCAGTGTTGATGAAACTATGAGGACCCTTCAGGTATCATGGAATTTTAAATTGAGCAAATAGTTCAAAAGGAAGTAATTAATACTTGGGTAGAATATTTGACTAAGAATATTTTCATATAAATTCGGTCATTAAATCCAATTATCATAAAACTCATCTCGATCAAATTTAGATCAAAAGATGGTAAATTTTGAAAATTGTTTGACATATAGATGTTAACTTTGGTTCAATCCTAATAAAACATATGATGGACGTTTTCGAGATTTAGGGTTTAAATGAACAAGAAGAAAAACCACAATGAGTAAAGTGTAAATCTCTTAAATCCTCCTCCCCCGCCGAAGACGGCCTAAAATGAGAGGAAAATAAGCTTGAAGGTGGAAATAGGATTTATTTTGCTCCAAACACTTTTTTTCCCAACATTTAGCTTAATTCTTGCTAAATTTTAGCTAAATCTAGCAACCAGACAATCTCTCAAGGACTTCAGATTGGCCTTAACTTACTTTTGACTGAATATAATAATTTGTTTCCTCCTGAATACTCCAGGCACTGCAATATGTGCAAGAGAACCCAGATGAAGTCTGCCCTGCTGGATGGAAGCCTGGGGAGAAGTCCATGAAGCCTGACCCTAAGCTCAGTAAGGAATATTTTGCTGCAATTTAATAACTGTCCTGATCTGCAAGCTTGTTGTTTTTAGAAGTGAATCCACTTGTCATTAGTTTAGTAGTTAATGGTGAATTAATTAAGGAGTAATTTACTAATGATAGGTGGATTTATATCATTAATTCTCTTCTAAAAATGATCTTGCTTCTTAGGATTGAACTTTCTAAAGTCAATCTGAGGGATCAATGGCTGTACATTTAACAGTAATCTCTGAATTGGTGGAGTATTATTTTGGAAGATAAGACTTTTCTTGTAGAAAATTAGTGTGGATAGTCATAATGAAAGTATTGTTGCATCCTAGAAAAATTAATGTGACAAAGAGGGGGTTTTATGTCCTAATCTTGTATGAAGATTCAACATGAATATGGATATGAGAAAAGAATGTGAAATAGGCTAAAGGTTTTTAAGTAGAAAATTAATTAAAAAAGAAAAAAGATATTAGGCTTGATTCAAATTAAATAGTTTGCTATGTTGGAAAAAAATATAAATATCCACTCTTTAACTAAATTGATAAAGAAGTTATAAGTTTTGGATATAACATTGGCTCGATCTCTTGTGATTGTAGTAAAAATGTTAGAGAAGTAGTGATGATGCCAGTAGTATGAGCAACATTTGGATGATGGTAGTTGGACGATAGTGATAATCGTCGGGCGATCAAAAGTCAGACAATGGAAATTGAGCAATAGATAATAGTTTTTGGGAGAAGATGTATAAATGTGTTAATTGAGCGACATCTATCTGGCAATGATGGTTTTGGGAATGATGATCGTATGATGACAGTTAGACTGTGATGGCGATCTTAGTATTGGTGATTGGATGGTGGCAGTTGGATGATGATCGTGGCTAGCGGTGATTGATGATTTCGATCGTCAAGTAAATTTCAAGAGTTATTTGCTTCTCTAAATTCTCTCCAATCTCATGAGCCCATCCCATTTATTTTGAGAATAAGGTTCTATTTATAATTTATAAGAGCTAAATTTAACCAATATCTCAAAATATAATATCAGACAACCTATATTGATTTATTTGATTATATATCATTTTTTGGCATTTAAATCCTTACTTTTCTCTAAATTGAGTGATGATATATTCTTTGGATTCCTCTCGTTGAAATAGTCGCTTTGATTATAAGCATATAAAAAAGAAAATAAAGTAATTTAAACTTCATAATAATCACTTTTTCATCATTATATTTTGATAAAAATTTAATCTTTTTCAATAAAAAAAATCTCTAAACTAAAGCAAAATCTCAACCTACTTGATCGGTCTATATCGTTACAAGTATGCCTATTCATAATCTCCTATCTGTTTCTGTTTTGAATCTTCGTATAAATTTTAGACGCTAAACTATATCACTCTCTACCGCCGTGAATTTTTAAGGACGCAACAATGCCTATCCAACCGCTAATATTTGATCTTATTATATGATAATCATTACTAATTTCAAAATATATTTACAAGAAAACAATTTTTAATCCTATTGATTAAAAATGTTGGTACTTTATTTTATAAGATTTTGTTAGTATGCGCGATGCGCTATTACAATAGGAGTTATTGATGTAACAAAGGAATTAAAGTATTTCTTTTCTGATGTGATTAGCAGTAATCTTATCCTAATAGGTTAATTAATGAGATCAGAGTCATTTTTATGATAAGTATATTTTTTTTCTTATATAATAATCTTAAGATCAATTTTATTAATCCTCATTATTTATTTAGTTATATCAAACATATTCTGATTAAAATTAAAATTAAATTTTAACAATTTAATATTTAAATGTCATCACTTATTATTTAGCAAATTTAGTTTTTGAATTTTTTTAATATTTACTTTTTGGCATATATATAAGACAGAAAGCAAGTCATGTTTTTTTATTGAAATTCTAAAGAATAGCTTCTTCAATTTTTTTTTTCTTAAAATTCTTTTTCTGTTTTCTTTTTTTTTTGCTTTGTAATTTTAAAAATAAAAAATAATATTTCAATTTTTTAATTCAAAGATATTTTTTTATGCTTTCTTTTTTTCTAATATTTAAATTTATGATTCATTTGGGAAAACTGTTCCAAATGAAGCATTTGGCTTCCTTTGTGACTTGACTTTTTTATTGCTTTTTTAAAATAGAGTTTTAATAAAAAATTAATTTTTAATTTTTTTATGAAAACTCTGTTTTATGAAGCAATAAAAAAATCATTTCAAACGAAACCTTATTGTAACTTTTGCTCCAATTTATAGGATTAATATGTCATAAAAAAATAAAAATAATAAATAAAAAAAGTTTTATTGATGACTACTCGCTCGCTTTATCATGTCGTCCGCTCCGCTAGGGCTTTGCCCTAGGTTTCTTCGGCGCAGTTGCTGGGCCGCTCGCCCCGGTGGTGTTGGTCATCACTGTTTTCCCAGGGAAGTTTTCTTACTTTTCTGGTTCGCTTTTGGTTTGTTGGTGTTTTTTTTTCCTTGTCGGATGGCGCTAAAGCTTTGTGACCCTGGTTTTTTATGGGGTTCATCTTCTTCGCGTTCTTTTTTGGATGTTCTTGTGGGTTCTTCTTCCGTTAATGAATTTCCTGAGCTTTGGACATCCTTCTTTCGTGGCTTGCCTTCCCTTTGGATCTCTGATCAGGAAATTCAGGCATTGGCCGTTCCTTTTTAGTTCTCGTTGGTTGATTTTTTTCCTACCAAGCGACCCTTTCTTGATACCATTCATAGATTTTTTTTTTCAACCTCAAGCTAAATGGGGCGGTTTCAGTCACCTTGCTGGATCCGTCACATGTTCTCATCAAGCTCGCTAATGACCTTGATTAATATTAGGTCTTCTGTCATAGATTGTATTTGGTTCATAATTGCTACATGAAGCTCACCAAGTGGTCTCCCCTTGTTGATGTCGGTGTTGAGTCACCGGTGATCCCGATTTAGGTATCCTTTCCGCAATTGTGCCCTCACCTCTTTCCCCCCCACATTCTTCATGGTTTGGCCTCTCTCTTTGGTAAACCATTGAAAATTTATGCTACCACTTCTATTGGATCTAGGCTGTCTTTAGCTCGTGCTTTAGTGGAGCTGGATATCACTAAATCCTACCCTGATAAGGTGTGGTTAGGCTCGGAGAAGCTAGGTTATGTCCAGCAAGTGGTTATGGATGAGTTCCCACATTTTTGTGCTTCTTGTTGTACTATCGGACATGCTGTTGGAAATTGTCGTCCTCCTCCAGTTCCGATCCCTGCTGATCTACCTTATCATAAAAAGGTTCCTAATGAAGTTTCTGATAATCATGCTTTAATTCACTCCCCCCCCCTTCCTTTTGTGGGGGATTTTGCGAATGATGAGGTTGTTGCCCCTTTAGAAGTCCTCCTGTGCATAATGCAATGATGTAGTTTTTGAGGGTGTTAATCATAACATTGCTAATTTGAATTTAGTCCAGCTTGACTCTATTGTGGTTTTGGAGGGGGTGGCTCCTGCTGCCCAAATTTCATGGTTATGTTTGAGTGAAGTTCTTGTATTGAATTGTGGTTTAAATTCTAAACCTGTTTTATCTTGTGCGGATAATGTGTCTGCCCAGTGTGGTTTGGCTGAGCATGGTGCGCCCTATGTGGGCGATGAGCCTTCTGGTTCTCCTATTTCTACTAGTCGAAACTAATTGATCATGTGGTATCCTCTCCGATGGCTGTAGTGAGCCGGATGTTGTTTCTTCCTCTGTTAACTTGATGTTGAATAGGAAGGTTCATGATCAATCGGGTTTAATTCCTAACGATGGCTTTGAGGGAAATGTTAATTTCATTAATATCCCTATTTTAGTTATGTCTAATATTGAAATGAAAGCTCATATGGCTAAGCCTGAGAAAAATGATGTTTTTCTTCAAACTGATTGGTTGGTTTTGAAAGATTTCTTTTCTTCTGAGGAAACAAATTGTTAGGATTTTGAGGGGGAATTAGTGGATCGTTTTATCAATCATGGTTTTCTAAATATGGGTGGAAAAGAGCATAAAAGTAAAGGCAAGAAGAAATAGTTGGTATTTGATTTTTGTTGTTTCATTCGTGGATTTTGAATGTTGTTGGACGATGATGATGAGGTCCACTGTCCCCTTGCTAGCTGGGCTGGTTGGCAACCTGGGTTCCTCTTTCTGTTGCTTGGTGGCCTCTGGACTCTGTTCCTTTAACTGGCACCAATGGATGGTCCGTGTTTGGCTGCGAGTTTGGTGTAGGGTACCTCCATACTGAGTCCCTTCTTGCTACTTCTCCTTCTATATCTGATTTTCTTGGTCTTATTATTTTGTACCACCGGTTGTTGATCTCTAATTGTTGTAACCGTCTTTTTTATTGAATAAAGCTTATTTTTTGGTTTTAAGAAAAGGATTAATATTTCTTGGGTAGATATTCTTGATACGTGGATTTTCGAGAAAAAATGTTTTATGATGACTTGAGAGCCATTTGATTTGCATTGACCTTGGTGTAGTTTATAATATCATATACAAGCAGGAATCTTAGTATAAATCTAAAGAAACTTAAGCCCATCTTGACATAAATTACAATATATAAAACCATGTAAGGATATTATCATTATCCAATACAATGGGCTTGAACCTGACCTAATTTGTGTCTGACTGTATTTCCGAATATCGTAAAATAGCTGTATTAAACGAAGCTCAAATGTTCTCTAAGGTTTCGTTGGGACGGCTTTTTTACTGCTTCTTAAAACAGTTTTTTAATACAAAAGTTAAAATTTTTGTACTAAAAAGTTATTTTAAGAAGCAATAAATAGCCGTCCCAAACGAAACTTAAATCTAATTATGTGCTTATATTTAAATTGAGCATCTCAACGAGCCTAAAATCGCTAATCTTAGGTCATTAAAATACTTAAATATTGAAATGTGATTTGTAGACTAGAAGGAGACAAACGATAAATACTCATTTTAATGGCAAACACGTAATATTTGTAAGACATTTGGTCATTTATAAAATGTCACGTAATTTTCAGCTACACTTCAATTCTTTAATTTGAGCAGCATCATATTATTTTTATTGTCATTGAATTCTACTCATCGAAAAATTAATTTAATTATAAATTTACTAATATCATAATTTAAATAATATTAAATAGTCCACAGCATGGACTTATTTTATTTCTTCATTGATTATTAAAAAAATAAAATGCTCATCACAAATTATAAAATAGCTGAGCGAGCAGCACGAGGAAACAAAATATAGCTATAAAAGGAATAATTTAATAGTTTAATTGTATTGTCGAATCATGCAGTTATAAATGTTTAATAG